TATTTGAAATAAAGTATTTAATTGAAATTATGTGAATTGCTTAAACATTTTGGCGATATCCAGCACAAGCTTTTCAATGGCTTCCACTGCGCCTCTGTTAACAAATGCAACGCCAACCATATTTTCACCAGGGAATAGTTTGAGCAAGGTAGTGGTGCCGGTAATGCCACCCGAATGCCATATGACTTCCTTAAATGGACTCGGATTTCGTTGTATAAACCAGGCTTTGCCTGATAAATTTAAAATTAAATATAAATAAGTCTACTGTATGTATCCACATTTAACTATATAAATCTCATACCGTAGTCATTATCACCCATTTCTTTGGGCAATTGAATGCCAATAGTCTCCGGTCTCCACAAACAATTTAAAATTAAATATAAATAAGTCTACTGTATGTATCCACATTTAACTATATAAATCTCATACCGTAGTCATTATCACCCATTTCTTTGGGCAATTCAATGCCAATAGTCTCCGGTCTCCACAACTCTTTCACTGTTTTTTGAGATATAAAATCTATTGATAAACAAAAATATTAAAATTAATATATTTTATATGTGTCGGGAATTAAGTGTATTCACCTAATGGTAGGATTCCTTTATATGCGGCTATCATAACGTTCCCGAATTTTATCATATCTTCAGCGGTGGATATGATACCCCCTGCGGGCCACCAGCCCTCGTATGAAGTCAACTCATCGATTATATGACACTTTTGCAATGTCCCGGATGTTAGGTTTGATAATTGATAGTATTGTGGTCTGTGTTTATAAATCGCTTCCCTTCTCTCAGCAAATGTTGAATTCATGTTTAATTGTGTAAATATTTTCTTCATTTCATTCTCATATGTGTTATTAAGTATGGACTCAATGATAGCGCCAACCATTTGGTAGCCATAGTTTGAGTAATTAAAAGCAGTGCCCGGTTTGGACGATAAGTCTATATCTTTGAATGGTTTGATGGTTTGGCTCACATTATCCGCACGTCTTATCAAGTATTTGTCAAAATCGTCGGGAAATACACTCACCCGAAGACCCGCCGTATGAGACATGACTTCCCGAACGGTTATATTAACTGCCGATCCGTTGAATGTCATTTGATGGTTTGGCTCACATTATCCGCACGTCTTATCAAATATTTGTCAAAATCGTCGGGAAATACACTCACCCGAAGACCCGCCGTATGAGACATGACTTCCCGAACGGTTATATTAACTGCCGATCCGTTGAATGTCTTAAACGGATAGAAATCTTTTGACAGATATTTATGAATCTCTGCGTTCAGATCAATGAGA